CTAAGACTGCTTTCCCCAGAAATAACCCAAAACTTTTCTTCCTGGTGCATTGCACTTGTTTGCACTTAACTAGCAAACTGGAGAAGAACTAAAAGGTGCAGGATGCCAGGCCAGGCTGTCTCTGAGTTTTAACCATCAAAAGGCTCCTTCAGCAGCAGTAGCATTATGAAAAGTCCAAGACAGAATGTATGATGTGGATCAAGAGCTACTTACAAACTTCTGGAAGCTACATTCTTTGTTGAAGACTTTCCTCTGGGTACTTTTTCCTGCCCTTGCTGAAACACACAGTTCTGTTTCCAGCCCCCATAACACACTTGTCCTCTTCAGATCTCACAATTCCTCTGCTCTAACTGGAAGGCAGCAGAAGAGTTTTGACTGCAGCAGTATATTAACCAAACATCCTAATTAACTGATTCACCCTTTTATTGTCTCACATCTCTGCTATCACTGGGCCTGCTGTGCTCTAACAGTGCTTTAAAAAGTCTAACTTGCCTTTTCTCCCCTGGCTTTTAAACACTCTGGCATTCCCATCTGCAGCTTTGTATAGATATAGACATGCAAAAACAAACAAACAAACAAACAAACATGCTTTTTGCAGACTCATTCACCTTCTTCTGCATGCAGCCTCCAAAAGGTGGCTGCCCTGCATGTTTCTAAAGCTTTAAGCCAAGCTATGACCACAAATACAGCTCCAGTGGTGCCAGGGAGCCAACACCAGCAATGGCAAGAGAGCAGGGACAGGAGGGAACCAGCTGGAAAAGGGAACCAGCTCAAAGAATATTTTCTGAAAGATGATCCTAAATGTTATTAACCTGATTCTCCTCTGCCATCAAAATTACACCAAGGGATCTCTGGTTCAATGAGATTCAGACTGTGAAAGACCAACAAAATCCTTTCTGTTAACAAGCCCATAAACTAATGGCACTCGAAAAACTCAGCACACCAGGCTTTATGACCCGCAGTGAAACAGATTAGAAGTAATACAAAGGCAAAGAGAGCCCTCTAAAACCTTATCTTTAGCTACAAAGAGTGCTCTTGTGCTGAGCAGGTTTTGGTGTGCAGCTCAGCATCCTCTTCTGCATCTCCAGAGGCATTTATGGTCCAGCAGCATGTTTCCACAGTATCAGAAAACAAATAAAAAAAATAAATCAAACACCTCTGTGACATTTCAACAAAGGCTTCTGGCTTCATACAGAAATCTAGATGTTTCTCAAGCTGCTCTGCTCCTTTCCAGACACATTTGGAAGTTGTGTGGGTGTTAGCACTGGATGAGTGCTGATTTCAGGGGGGAATTTGTACATGTCCTGAATGGAGAAGATGCTTTGTACACATCCAAGGCTTGCAGAAAAAATCTTCAGGATTTCAGGTGAAAGTATTCCTAATTAATCTAAAGGGAAGGGTAGCTCCAGCATGCTCTAAAGGTTGCCACAAAAACATCATCATACCAGTCACTCATTCTTGGCCCAGCAGTCCCTTTCCTCCTGCACATGAAGGGAGGCTTGGAGAGGTAAGTTTAATTCCAGAAACCATCTGTAAGACAGAAAACCAGGAGCAGGGTCCACTCCATCCCAAGCATTTCTTAGACTCCTGGATTTCTGCTCGCTGCCTTTCTGTGCTCATCTGCTGGCAGCAGCCCGAGGACCCCTGTTCACTTTGCCCTGCAGCCTTTGGGGCACGTTCACTCCTCACTGCCATCCTGAGCCCACCTGAGAATGAGATAAAAATTTCCATCCCCTTTGCTGTCCCACCTCTCAGCAGAAATTTTCCTAACCTGCTGTATAATGAGACCATTTTTATTCTTTCTGGCCCTCTCCTAAAGGTGAAAACGGGCCCCCTGCTGAGCATCAGCTTCCCAGGCTCAAGGCTTGGAATGAAAACCTCAAATTCCTTTATTTAAGGCCAGCGAGGTGACTAATGGACTGCAGAGCCTGAGAGGTGGAGGAAAGGCTCTGCAGAAGAGCTGTGGCAGGCAGCGAGGTCCTTGTGCTGAGCTCATGACCCTGCCAGCCAGCCAGCCCCATGGACCTCAGGCAGGGAGCAAACTCCCCTGAGCTGCACTTTGTTCTCCCCAAGCTCCTTCACACCCACCAGGCCAGCAAAAACACCCTATTGCTACAGCTGCCCTTCAGCTTTGTGGATTTTCACTCCCAAAATAAGGAGTCTCCTGCTGGGAACGCTGCATTCCAAAAAATACAGGCTGGGGCTCTGCAGCCTGTGGGACACGAGCTGGCTCAGCTCCTGAACGTGGAGCTCCCAGTGTGAGGATGAACCCTGCCCAAGCATCTTCCCCTGCCAGGGGAAAAGAGCAGACACAAAGCCAATTTTAAAACCGATGCTGGCCTCAAGCTAACAGGGAAAAAATGCACCATTAGCTTTGATTTTTAAATAGTTATTCTCTCAAAGGCTGGATCAATGGAAAAAAGAAGCTGAGCAATAGATAAACCTTTAATTGCTTAAAGTAGGATTAATCCTCACACTGCCTGGCCAGAGCATGGCCTTGTGCTGGTGACTGTGCTCCTGCATTCCCTCACAGCAGCCGTGCCTGCTCCCATGTCTCAAGCAACCATCAGGCTCTCAAAGTATTTTTCTGGTGGGGTCTGGATTGGCAAAAGGCATCTCTGAAAAGTTCCAGAAGGTTTATGTGCACTTGTGTCTCAAAATAGAACAAAACACTGAATTTCAGAAATTCCACAGAAGTGTAATGTTAAGCAGAAAATATTGCTTGAAGGCAATCAAAACATTTCATTTTGATAAAGGCCCAAATACTCCAATTTATTTTATATGCTGAAAAAAATTCAAGCTACAGTTTCCCAAAGAAAACTCTAAATGCTCCAATTTCAACAAGATACTGCGAGCTCATCAGCTTTTGTTTGAATGAAATAGCACTGAAACGGAGATATTCCCACAAAAAGTCATAATTTGGAGGAAATTACATTTTTTCCCCTCACAGGGACTATTCTGACTGGCTGTATGTAGCAGTTTGGTTTTACAATTTGCCTGCAGAGCCAAAGGCATTTGTGTGGAAGGACACCTATTTGTCACAGGAGTGACAGGAAAACAGAGAGGAGATAAACTCCTAACTTTGCTCTGCCATGAACACGGGATCTGTCCCTCTTCTCTGGCTGCCTGAGAAAGGCTCTTCAAAGAAGCTTTGTGGTAGAGTCACAGTTCTAAAGATATGTTTTATCCTTCCAGCATTCTCCATTGCTCCATTGCAGTCACACACACAGCCTGGGCTGCTGCCAGCACAGGGAAGAGCACAAAACCAAAACCAAAATAGCTTCTTCTGACCCCTCCAGGCCACTCAGCCAGCTCAGGAGCACACAGATCATCTAAAGCTTCAGGAGCTGAGCAAAGCTGGTGCACAGCTGAGACCTTCTGCCTGGAACACCACAACTTTCTCCACCTTTCTCCAGACCTCATCACCAGGCTCTGCCTTAGGCCCAGCTCAGGCTGCCTTAGGAAGGGTTCAGCATCCCAGCCTCCCTGGGCTGGGCACCAGGACATCAAAACCTACCCAAGGCCCTGGAACACCAAGGAGGAGAGGATCAGAGAAGGCTGAAAGGGGCAGGTAACCTGATGCTGTTGGTGTGACCCAACTGTGAGTCCTTCCTAATTAAAGCAGGGCTCACAGCACAGCCACACGTGGGCCCTGCTGCTGATTAAGGGAGGGCTGAGCACTGACACATTAACCTCCCAGTCTCAAAACATTAACTTTACCAGGTGTAATCTCTTCTAGGTGACATAAAGGTTAATAGTCTGCACCCACAACAGAATTCAGCTCGGTAAATACCCAATTAACCAGACTCTGTTAGAGGCAGCAGCAAAAAGGAAAGGTCTAGGCTGGCTCTGGAATGCTGGGTGTGGTGTGTCCATCCACTGTGGGGGACAGGGGACCTGCCAGGAATGGCCAGAGGAGCAAGCAAAAACTTCAACACTACCAGGAGCTGGGCTGAGAAAAAGCAATGAAGTGAAATAAATCAAAAGATTCTTCGCTGTCAACATTTAACAAAACATTTTTTTTCCCCCAGACTTCCTCCCTCATTCCTCTTGAACTATTCTCCAAAGCTCCTGTTGTTGGAAAGTGAATTCAAAGCAAAAGTGGTTGGATTCAACTCCTGTGCAAAAAAAATTGGTTTTTTTGTTTGTTTTCTGACTTTTAATCTTTATTTTGCTCACTGCCTTTCAGAAGAGGGAATTGGAACAGGGAAAGATAAAAAAAATGGAACAAACAAGGAATAAGTGGATATTCAACTCAGTTGGAATGCAATTGCCTCATTTAGCATAATTTTGTAGAAGCTTCAGGAGAAAACTTTGATACACCAGATTTGAAGCATTTAAAAATAAAGGGTCAAAGGAGTGATTACTTTTATTCTGACCAGTACAGCAGCTGGAACAAGGGGAAGTGTGTGTCACTGAATCCTCAGGAATGTGCCACCCTCTGGGCCTGGTCCCACTGATGGAGATGGAGAAGCTTCTGCAGCTGCAGGGGCTCAGGGTGCATGGCAGGGCTCAGCCACTTCACTCAGCTGTTGCTATTTCAGCTAAAAGCTCTTTTTTTTTTCCCCCTCCACAGCTGAACTGACACAAAGAGTGTGAGACATATTCATCACCACTGACACATCCAGCATTTTCCTGCTCAAATCATGTTTTCTCTGAGCTCCTCCTCATTTTAGTGTCTTCCAGGTGTTCAAGTTCCTCTGTTATGCAAGAATTTAGGATGCCTTGTTCTCTTTCCTTTCTCCATTCATTAAACTTTGTTTTGCCCTTCCCCAAAACCTGCCCTAGCTTTTCTGCCACAATCCCTGCTTCACTGGACCTCCCCTCTGAAGGCACTGCACATGCACAGAACACATTCACCCCACTGTCATGTCTAGCAAACCTCCAACCTGAACTCTCAACCCTGCTTTTACTGAGACTGGGAACCTTCTGGAACACTCAGAGCACCAGCCCAGCCAGCCAACCTGGGAGAACCAAAGAGATCATCCAGTGAGACAGGACAAGAATGAAAATAGTGTTTTTAATATCATTTACAGCAAACTTACAGTATGAATTTCACATCACATATTTCTAAACTGCTCATCTGGAAAATATAAGCTGCAAAAATACAGAACACAGTACTCAAAATATATCGAGCATGTGGCTTCTCTTTTTTTTTTTTTTTTTTTTTAAGTCAATTGTACAGTGAAACATTTCCTTTTCCAAACCAGGTTTTGGTTCATTTTGGAAGTGCTGCTAAACTTCTGAAAAATTACTAGCAGTCAAAATACCAGCACAGTTCAAAGACCTTTTCCTTGGGCACTGCAGGAAAAGAGTGACCCCCAGCCCAAGAAGGGGCAGTGGCATGTGGCTCATCCAGGTCCCAGAGTGCTACAGACTATTTGTGGAGATGTTCTGGGCAGGAAAGACTTTCTCCACAACCCACAGATGCTGCTCTGCCCAGCTGACTGTGAAGGACAGCAATGGTTAGAGGGACAAACACCATGGACTGGTCTGGTACAGAGGCAGGTAAATTCTCCTCCGGTGCTGTGAACCCTGCAGAGCTCTGCAGGTGAGTTTCAAGCACAGGTGTGACAAACTGCATGGGGTGGTCTCGCTCTCCAACAACACAATCAGCATGGAAGCTCCCTCCATGCACTGATGGAAGATTGCACCCAGCTGCAAACACTTGTCAGAGAAGTCCTGAGCTTCTGAAGCCCAGAGAAACTCCCACCAACCCAGGCGAGAGATGCATCAGGATTTGGAGGGCGCATGGCAGGCCTGCCTCGTGAAAATGTATTATTTTCTTTATTTACACTATGGAGAAAGAGAATGATGGATAAGGGAGTGAGTTAAGGAACAAAGTAGGTTCCTAATATTCTTATTAGCCAAAACGCCAAGCCCCTCAATCTCTGTCAGGGATATAGAGGAGCCAGCTGGTCAAGAGCTTCTTTCCCAATATACTTTGAATTTTAATCTCTTGAGCTTGCTCATCTGTAGCTGGCACTAAGAGCAGTCAGGGGTGGGGAATAGCCAGGTTACACAGGCAGGGCATGTGCTGCTGGTCAACCTCTACAGCAGGGAAACAAAGAAAGAGAGATCAGCCACTGGAAGCTGGCTGTTTCTCCAGCATGAATGAGGCATGGCCAAGGACTGGCTGGGCAGTCTCTTCTGCTCAGGAACCACATCAAGAGCTGCTCTCCTCCTGCCTGTGTAAACTGCCCCCACTCCCTCCCCTCTGATTTCACACGGTGCTCGTGTCTCACCTGCACAGGGCAAAAGGAATTTCAGAATAGCCTTACTGCAAACATGCCCCATCTAATGCCATTTATGCATTGTTAGCTCCCACGACTCCAAATGTCCCCGTGCCTGGAATGTGATATAAGTACATACAGCAGGGAAAAAACCACTTCTGCAGACTGCATTTGACTTGTATCAAAATCCCAACGAACACCACATTTATTGTACTTTATTTACATGGTAGTCACGTATAATATAATACAATACAGCGTTCCATTTGCAGTGGTAGGCACTATGGGTTTTAAAATGTCACAGCTCTTCCTCTGCTCCATCCCACCCCTCCTCCCTATGGACGTGAGCTCCCTGTTGTGCGGTCCCAGCGCTGCTCCAGTTTCCCCCTGAACCTGCTCTGGGATGGCTCTTCCCCAAAACCAGGTGAGGGAAGCTGCTTTCAAGTGCTAACGTGGAGCCTTTGGTGGTCACAGACCACCGGCAGACCTTAGCACTTGCCAGGGGCAGTCATGTGCAGCCTCCTCACCATGCTTTGCACCAAAACACCGTGAAGGCAACGTGGGGCTGCAGCTGAGCTACAGACCCCTAGCACAGGGAATAGGCCACCCATGGTGATCACAGAGCACCATTTGGTCCTGCTGCAGTAAGAGTTTAGGAGAACGGCCGTGAGTCTCCAAGAGGGATCATCCTCCTCCTCCTCCTCCTCGGATCGGGCAGGAAGTGTCACGGGTGAAGAGCAGGGGTCATTTCTTCCTTTCAAGTTCACAGTTAGAGTTGTGAGGCACCAAAAACACAGCACTGTTTGCACTTAGGGGTAAATGCACTGCTGTTTGTGCGATGCCATACTGCAAGAGAAAACGGGTTTTGGGGGCTGAGATATCCGTGGCAGAGAAAGATGCCTTTTGCTGCCCCACCCATGGGCAATTCATTTGGGAAGAACTAAGATATGTTAGGCCATATGCAACTCTCTTGATGCCCCAGAGGTTTCTGCTTCTGATCCAAGAGCTGTGCAAACATCGCAAATAAAATTTACACCACCTGCTTCACCTCAATACCAATTCACTTTTGTCTGGGTTCATACCCTTCTGGTGTTTGCTCTCAGCAATTACTCAAATGAGTCCTTTAACCAGTAGGAATACTGGGAGAGGCTGAGAATTTCAAGCATCTGTGAGAGAATATTCCTGGGCAGTGGAGTGTGAGCTGGAAGCCAGCGCTTTGGCTGTCCCGGAGCATGGTGTGTCCACAGACACTGAGCAAGGATCCTCTTACTCAATTCCTGATCACATGCTTTTGAACTAAATATTTTTACTGATGAGAAAATTCCAGCTTAGGGAACTCAGGGAGCAGAAATAACCCCTGTGAGTATTATATCCATCCAGAACAAATCCCTGTGTATGAATTACAAGAAAGCTTTTCCAACTTCTCCAGACCACAGATGATATGCAGAAATGACCTTGCAAATACACTGGAGGCATTTTCTTGGTTTTCTCAGCGATTTGCAAGGAAGAAATAAAAGAGAAAATTAATGTGTGAAGTTGCTATAAATTATTTGCCGAGTTGTAGCTGACAAGTTTCTTATTGCTTCTTGCCATATGCAGATACCAACTTTGTGCAGAACCAGTCCAGCACTACAAACTGTTCAGGGTAAGACAAAGCTTTTCCTTCTTAGGGTTGGACACCTTGCTTAATCTGAATAAATGGGGGAAACATCACGAACTCATCCCATCCCACAGACCTCATCCCTGGGGTCACTCCATTCATCAAACAAATAGAGACTGAAGCAAAGCTTTGACAAGCAAAGCAACATAAACACTACAAACATCCTGAAGCCCTACTCTGGCAGCCATCTACATGGACTGCTCTGTCCAATCAGCTTCTCCTGAATTCCCTGAATTCCTTTTGGGACCAAGAGATGCTCAGAGCCAAGCAGCCAAGGCAAGACTGAAGCTGAAAGAAAAGCAGCCCATGTTCACACTCTGCCCCAGGAAACACCAGTATTGCTGCTGGGCAGGCACAGCCTCCTTCTGCTCCCCTGAACTCAGGGAGCAGACAATGGCCACAGATTTTACTTGGCATCACTAGTTAATAAAGAAGTACCTCATGTCTAAGAACTGCTGAAAGGCCATTTTTCAGCAAAGCAATTGTATTAAGACTCAGATTGGCTAGAAATGTCAATGGAATGATAGAGAACATCATTTGCAGCCTAGAAGTTATAGATTTAGGGGATATAAGCAGAACAAACGATAACATTTTGAACATATGTAAAACTGACTGAGACCTGCTGGCTCCCAGGCAAATTTAAATGCCTCTCAGTAACTCTGGATACCTTGTATTGGCTTGGCAGAGCCAAGCTGTGCTTTGCCATTGGGGGAAGGAAGAACTGTGGCTAGAGAAAGGAAGCTGATGGCCAGTTTGGACCCAAACCATGGGTCTGGTGGAGGAAGGGCTATCCAGGAGCACAGAAGGGTGGATAATCCTTTCAGAGTGGCTCAGTTACAATGTCCTTTCCTCCTTGGATCAGTCTCAACCACCAGATAAGCATGGCTGAACCTGGCTCACACCAAAGGTTCCCATCTTAATAAACTGCTGCCTATATTCCCACCAATTCTGTCTTGGCTGCCAACAAAACAGGTGAGGCACAGCAGCAGTGTGGGATGCTGGGAGAGGTGAACCCAGATTTAGTAAGAAAAGCCAGAAGCCCTGTTGCAAACGAGAGCAGGTCAGTATTATTGCTTGTAATCAGGGGTGCTCTGCCCTGTGCACAGGAAGCTTGTGAGCTTTGCACATATTAATCAGATCTACAGAGAGAACAACAACAAACCTGCTGCTGTCTGCAAACACAGTTCACATGAAATTAGGAGGATAGATGAGCCCAGCTGCATTTAAAGGCAGAGCAGGAGTAAGTCTGGAAACCCTTGTGAATAAAAAAACAAAGCTGTTATCACATCAGTCCAGTGAAGCATTTGCATGTGTCTTTTGTACTGACAATTCCCCACATCACTGCCAAGAATAAAGCAAACATCACACCAAGAATGCCAGACTCTGAAGAAAATACCAAGCCAGACACACCCAGCTGTGACAAACTCTCATATGGCAGCAACAGCTGTGGCTGGCTTGGGGGCTAAAGCTTCACAGTGCTGGTAGGTTTCAGATTGTTATGGGTTGGCTGTGGAGTGAAACTGCTGGTTTTGAGATGGAGTTGCCTTTCTGTGTCCCAGTACCTCATTTACTTAGAAAAATGTGAGTTTGACTGAGACACAAAGGTGAACCTTAAGCACAGTGCCTCCACTGCAATGTCATGAACACAAAACTCCAATGGGGATAGGAGGGGGTTCAAATCACATTCATTCCCTTAATTTTAATTTTTTTTTTTTTTTTTTTTTGCAAGGCAAAAGATGTAAATGCATCTCAGCCATTTGGAAATACTCCAATCACTTTCCAAATGTCTGCAGACCATCAGTTCAATTTGGAAGCATTTTGAAATGTAGCTAAGTCAGATAATGGAAGCTAATTCCTCTCTGCATCTTTCCCTTCTCACCTTCTGAGCAAGGTGAGACCCAACCACGATGAACAGCAGCAGCACCGAGGAGTTTAGTGCATCTCAGAGGGAAATGGCAGAGGCAGGTCCCTGCTATTGAGCTGAACTGCCAAGAATGGAAGGTTTGTGATAATTCAAGTGATAATTCAAGTGATGGACTTTTCAGTCCCACTCTACATCCAAGATGTACTGGGCAAAGTCAGAAAAATGGATGATTTCTGTCTCTATTAAAAGAAGGTTCTGGAAATGCATCACCTTGTTAACAAGGATGCAAAGAAAAGGATTCCAGTGTCATCTGCACCAATTTTAGATTGGGCCCCCCTTTTGATTCCACTGGGGCTATTCCAAAGTGGGATCTGAGCAAGGGAAAGGAAACCCCAACCTGAAGCCATGCAAGGCAACTGGTCAATCCCAGAGAGACTGCAGAATCTCAAGTAGTTTGTTTTTCCAAACATCCCATTCCTTAGCAGACAGCCACAGCAGACAGACTGTGTGGGGAACACAGTGCTTGGAAACGCCAAAAGAACATTTCTGCTGAGACTGAGGCCTCAACAAACCCCTGAATTTCAATGCCCTTGAATATGAAGAAACAATTTCCACCACTGGATCTGGACCACACAGCTCAGAGCAAGACCCTGTTTCTGTTCCTGGGAATGGGTGTTTTTCTAACTCCATCCTTGTATCTTTGTTTTTTAAGTTTCCTGCGTGGTTAAGGCAGCTGCAGGATGGAGGTGAAGTGCTGACAGGGGAGGCCCATAATGCAGTTTGGGAAGAGGGAGGATGTCTGACACTTTTCCTTTGTTATTCTGTAACAAAAATTGGGTTGCAGGCAAAAATGGCTTGTGGTTCTGAAATCAGATAGAAACCAAAATGCCTGCTGGTGTGGATGTGAAGGGTTTGGTCTGTGTGTTTTCTTTCAACTAAAGCTCTGTTCTTAAATCTGTACCAAAGCACTGACAGCAAAGCCCTTCACGATGCAGGCATCAGACCTAACCCTAGGGGAAAAAAAAAGAAAAGAGTGGGATGGGGGAAAAGGTTTTCAAGAGTTCCATTATCCAAAGAAATAAAATAACAATCATGCAGGAATTTCAAGTTACAGCTTAGAAATAACATAAGTAACCCCATTCAACTGCATCTCCCACACATACTAAGAGAAGAGATCAAATGAAAAAAGTAAAGAAAAACACAAATGAAAATGTTATGTGCCCTGGAATCCCGTTTCTATAACTCCGGTCAAGGGAGACTTTTGACTGTAGCAACAAACCACAGCTCGTGAGCACTGGGAATTTGTTTTACATCATATCAATCAGCATGCTATTCTCCTTCACCTTGGACTTTCAGAGGGGAAAATCATGAAATTGTGAAAGGGGTTATGAAATTTCAAGCAATCAGGCTTTTAGAGAGGTTCTATTGTGTGACATTTGTGTTTGAGTCTGAAAATGTGTGTATAGTATAAAATTATGAGCTAACATTTGGAAAGACAGCAGTCTAAGTAATAAATCTGCAGAATGAAGAGAACTGTACAGAATGATTTCAAAGGCTTATACTTGACAATTATATATATTTTATGAGACAGTTATGCACCCTGTGCCTTTTTGGAATTCATTGTTTTATGGATGCAGTATCTCTATTTTAGCAGACAGGATATGCTAAACCAATATAATGGTCTAAAAAGCATCATTTACCACCCAACATAACAATGGCACTGCATAGCTTAATATATTTTTTTTTCCTTAAACTCCTTCATCAATTGAGCGATTCTTAACATGGCTGAAACCCAAGAATTAAATATCTGCAATTACAATATTTGTTGAGTATTTGGCACAATGGAGTTTATTTGATACACCCTTTTTTTCTGCCCTTATTGTTGCTGAACATGTAATTCTGTGCATTAGCTGCAAGCACACATATAAATTCAATCAAGTGGGAGCAGCTTGATGCTCCACACCCATGTTGCAAAGCCTGGATAAGAGCAAAGTCTGCTAAAAATGGGCTGAACGTGAGTGACAAGTTATCAACCCTCTGTAATTGTGCCAGCTCTGGGGTGTCCACTGCAGCAAGGGACAAGGGCTTGGGGAAGACCAGCCCCTCTGCCACCTGCATGGAAGTGACATCCAGCATTTGACTCAACATGCCAGGTTACTCCTCTAAACATCCTCCAGTTCACAACAGCTTCGAAATTCACACAAAAAAGGAACTTTTAATTATGATGCTAACCCTTAAAGCCCTTCTGACATTTAGTCCATCGGAAACAAGTCTGGTTCCTGGGAAAAAAAAATCGTGAAATTTTAACCAATTTGCATTGCTTCCCAGCAGGAATGTTTTGGAAAACAAAAATGTGCATACAAAATACGCCTGACCCCCACGTTTCTTGTAATCAGATGAAAGTTTCCCTATGGTTTTTGCAGGTTTAGTTAAGACTGCACTGCAGGAGCCAAGCCAAATCTGCTCCTGCATGGATGCTTTGTGGGGAGCTGAATGGAAGTTTGAGTTGCTCAGCGCTGGCCAGCCTCTGCTCCCATAACCCAGCCTTCCAGAGGGACACTATTCCCACATGGACAAACAAAATGTGGCATCCAGGAGAGATTATTCCATCTTCCTCACATGTCTTCCACTGAAAGTCAGTGGAATTTCTCAGGTGAAAAATAAAACACCAATTGTGAGGGCTGAAGGATTAAGGTCAGTGTTCCTCTCATCTTGTACACACACACACACACACACACACACTTTAAAGAAAACATCCACCACACAATTTCTAGATTGCAAATTATATATATATATATATATCTTTAAAAACTGGAGAGAACATCAACAGCCTCTCCACATATATATGTATTCACTGAGTCACATAGAATATGAAAAAAACTATATTATGTAAATCATCATATTATCTATAATTCTCCAACAGACAATTGTTTTTATAGAGACACAGTGCATTCATTCTCCTTTTTAAAAACATATTATGTGTCTTCATTGGCTTGGTAGCATATTAGAATGAAGGCGTATGGATAAAAAAATGCAGAGGATTAAACAAACCCCTTGAGTCACATTAAGTTTGGGTGAATTAAACAGGATCCTTGCCCAAACTAGCATAAATAAATCCTCCTCATGGAAAAGTGTCAGCGATTTAAGGGTTAACATATACTCGAAAATAATTTCAAAAAACATCTTATTAGAGGACTACACAGATAAGTATTTGGAACTCATCCCCCTTTAAAAATGACAGCACGTTTGGCAAGTGTGAGCAAATGTCTTGAACTCTGCTGGGTTTGAGATCTGAGCACGGTTATTCACAGACAGCCACAGAGCTGCAATCTGCGAATAAGCCTGGCCTGGAAGGACTTGGATACCCCTGACAGCATCAGGGAAGGTTTCCAGCAGCTTTCAAGGAATTTATCGTGGACTGGTGGCTGGTGACAGAGTGTGACTGGTGGAAGGACTCCAGCACCGCTCCCTCTTTGCCATGGCGGACGCAGCAGGCTGGAGCAGCACCCAGCCTGGCCAGCCCTGCAGGGCTCCACACACCCCATCTCAACTGGGAAAGAACCCATTGCTGTTACCAGCTTGCTGTTATCACCTGGCTTTCTCTACACCTCGTGCCAAACTCTCTGCTGAACCTCTGTGGGTGCCCTCCTTGGAAGCTCGTTCAGTCACAAGGGGCTGGTGCCCAGCCACAAGGGCTCCCTGCTTTCTCCATCACCCCACAGGATGTCACAAGTGATCCCATCAAAAGACTCTCTTCTCAAGAATCCTGGCTGGGTCTGACTTTGAGAAAAAGACAAAAGTTTCCTGTGTTGCCGTTGCTGTTTTGCAGTTGTTTCTTCTTTCATTCGTGCTCTCTCCTTGTTTTTATTAAAAAGGACCCTTGTATTATTAATATAGTTCACTCCTCCACAGTCACTATAAAACAGACTCCATATTTTCACACCACTCATGATCTTCAAGGTTATAGATAAATTTTGTCCTATGTGGTTGATTTTGGGGCACAGAGTCCCGCCCCAGATTGTCTAGGGTGAGAGTAGAGGCAAAAAACTCACTAGTGCTGAGACCACCTTCGTGGTTCTTGATGTATCTTTTATAGTTTTTCCTCAAGCACTGCCAGGTGGTGGTGTACAGGATGAATGCAAAGGACTTGAGGGCGATAGCAATGCTGACATACAGGTATCTGTAGACCACGTTGTCATACAGTGCACAGGCTCCTTGCTCTCCACAGAATGTGCTCCAGAACAGACACGTGGAGTCAATCCCGGCCCCGAAGATCAGTGGAGGTGGGATAAAACCTGCCAAAATAAGAGAGACAAATCATGCTTCTATGATCCCTGTGATAAACAGAGAGGACGTGACTGCAGTGAGTAGAAAAAGGGTACTTTATCAAGGCTAATAGTCCCAGCTGCAGCCTGTGATTCTAATTTTTGAAGTTCTAAATCAACCTGAATGAAGTTTGTGGATGAGCTTTTAGCTTGGACTTAACGTCTGTGGAAGCGACGTTATATCCTGCTGATATCAACATGCAGCAAGAATCTTATTCAAGTCTGAGTGGCTTTTATTAAGCTTCTTGTTTGCCTAATGAGACTAAGTGGAGGGGTAAATGAAAGAGGAGGAGGACAGCCTTGCAGCTCATTCTCTAGAAACTGGCAATTCTGCACTTTAGAGTGTTGCCCTGAAGGATCTCATAGCATTCCAGTTCAGCACCTAAAATCAGCCTCGGCACTGAGATCCAGTTTTGGACTGTACCCTGATAGCAAAACATAGCAAAAGGTTTTCTCTGGATCTAAGGAGAAGAAACAATAGCCCCTAATAGATGTCAAAGATGCCATCAGAAAAGAAGAGAAAATTTCAGAGTGCCATTAAATGAAATATCACAGCAGGATTCTCCCACAGCCACTGCAGCTAACTACCAATGAGTGTTTCTCAATCATAGTTTGCAGAAGAGCTGCAATCTTCAAGCAAAGTAATCACTCCAATCTCATTTAACTAATAAAAGAAATGTTTTTTCTTGTCTACTTTCCCTCATCCTGCAGGGACACTGCAGCAACCCCCCATTTCCCATTAGCCTGACAGTGATTAGAACATCCATGCTCCAGCTCTGCGCTCCCCAGCCAGAGTGTGCAGCACTGGGAAGAAAATGTGAACATTCTACATAATGTAACCATTTCTCTACCTTCTGCTGTATTTATGGGCAGAGGCTAGAAGCAGATAAACCCTGAAAAAAGCCCTGATTGATAAAGCCACTGCTGTGGGTTAAGACAGTGAGCAAAGGAGAGCATTGCATCTGCTGAAATCCAACAGCAGGCAGGCACAACACCCCCCTGACAGTATCAATGCATCCGTAGGTGCTGTGATGCCTGAGACTCTATAAATACCTGTGACAGCAGACACAAGGACTGCAGTTTTTAGACAGCAAAGTGTTTAATCTTGGATCCAGTTTCATCATTAACCTGGATTTCCAGGCTTAAAAAAGATACCTTCCTTCAGCTTGTCACGAGCAAAGTAGTGACATTCATGACATGTATCCTAAGACTACAAATAAATTGGTTGTCTTCACTGTTCTCTGTGGTAACTGAGATCTCTTTATTTTATTTAATTGATGACTGGAGCTCTGCAGATTTTGTTTGATCTTCCTTATATGTTGGTAAATGCAGGAATTAAGAAAGGTTATATGGGCTTTTGGTACTCATTTGAACCAGTCATTAATAGCACAAATGTAGTAAATAAAACCAGATGATAAAAAAGCAAGACAATCTGTTTGTTAGAAATACTCGTTCCAGGCATCACATCTAAAAACCTATCTATGTTCTGGGAAAAAATATCAGCACCAGCTTTTTGTTCATCATTTCAATGACTGGAAAATCCAGGCTGGGTTGGTTCTGCTTCTAAGTTAAAAGACACTTTTTTAGTTGAAACCTGTGAACAACCACACACTCAACCTGGATTTTAAAAATTCAGCTGGGCTCCTGCCACAGAGAAGCAAGAGGCTGTGCTGCTGACTGCAGTTTGTGTGCCCAGTGCTGCTGGATGGCACCTCAGGGGTAATATTCAGATCTGGCAGTGACTGAGGAGCCACAGTCCTTCTGTAATAAGAGAAAACACATTTGGATCGTGATTTTGAGGTGTGAGTCCCTACTTGTTAACATGCTGAGGGATGTTACACAGAGCTTTGGAGATGTGCAGGCTGAACTTCAGGGAGAGCTGCCATCCTCACCTGCTGGCTTCAGCCTGGTGTCCACGACAATTTGGCCTGGAAAGTGCTCCTCGTAAGACTTGAGGAAGGACCTGTTTTCCTTGAACTCCAAAGCTACTCCCATGTGAAAGCATTCATGTGCAAAAAGCTTTAGCAACCAGTATTTCATGTTGTTTTTAGCAGAGGAGAGGATGAGAGACTCACAGGAGCAAGCTGGTGCTCAGAACCCCTGAGACAAGGGAGCTGAGCAGTTGCACTGCACACCAAAAACTCCTCCTGAGAGTGAAACACTCTGGGGTTTTGTCATGTTAGAATAAAAGGCAAACAACATCAGCTTGGAGAAAAAAAAATATCTAAGGAAGTGCCCTGGTAAGCAGAGGCTCTTCCAGGATGCATGGTGAACACCACCCAGAAAGGATGCATCCAGGATCTGAAAGGTCTGAAATTCTTTGCCATTCCAGACAATTCCATTCTGAACCTTTGGCTCCAATGGCACTGCTTTACTCTCTTCTCTGGGAAACTGCAGTAATGCTTTTATATGAAGACACTGTTAGGCTGCCCTCTCACAGCAGAATTCCTGTGAAATGAGGTAATATATGCAGGAGGATACCGGGAGAATTCAGTCATGTTTCATGTTATTACAGTGAATATTAAAGAGAGTCAATCATGTTCTACCTCTTACTGCAAAGTGTTGCAAAATTTTCTGCTCTCTCTCTCTATATATATATATGTATTTCACAGCAGAAACTGTAGGGCTGCATAAAAAAAGCTGCTTCTGTCTTACTGAAATCTATTAGGTAGGATTGCACCTTCGGGTCTCATACCTCTTGCATTTAATTCTCTCCTTTCGTGTAAGAAGCAGCTATTATCGCTGTCTTCTTAAGTCAAAGCTTAAAGGTGAACTGAAAAGCTTTTAAAATAAATCAGTAAAGCTATTCTCAAACCTCAGGTTGATAGAGGCACAATTTGGATACCCTTGCTCACATGGAAAAGTATCTTTCTCTTCATTTTCTGTGCGTTCCAGCTACGTTGCTGATATGCTTCAGGATGTATTGTCTTATTTCATGGGAATCCCTTAGTGACAGAGCAACATATAAAGATTTGAATTTAAATTCTCACTATGGCTTCTTTACTGGAATGAGAAAAAGAAATCTGTTCAACTTAAGCATACATGTCTGAGCTTGATTTTAGAGGAATTCAGGATGTTGCTACCTCAGGAGGCTTCTCTCTTTTGAAAGGGAAAAAGAATAGCTGAAAATCCCTCCCCTTAAATATTTTTCCTTTGGAAACAACAGCACACAGCCATCCTCCTTGCACACTTGTCTGCTGAGACTCCACATTCAGCCAGTCACAGCTAAGTCACGCCAAAATCCACAAGCAGCACCAGCAGCTAAAGAAAATGCTGTGTTTGCAAGGCTTGAACCAGAGCTGGCCTGGGTCAGAAACTTCCCTTTGAGTTATCTGAGCTCTGGGTAAGTTAACTTGAGGGATAACTTTGTGAATAACTGCAGTTTACCAAAACCAATGGACATCTAATTGGCTTTACTGTAAACTGGTCTGGGAGCACAATTTCCTGTTCAGCTTATGGGGAATAAGGTGTTAAAAAGTAAGTAAAAAAAATGAGGTCATTTATTCAAAGCAATGTCTGGTACTGCTGGATTTTCAGTCCTGTACTTCCCAGTGTCTTGCTGTAGCCTAAGAGATTGCACTTTAGTCTCCAGCTCATTCCTTTGAGACCAAAGGAGCCATGCAGGGAAGGCGCTCTGTGCCCTGCTAAAAAAAGTAAGTTCCACTCCCACAACATGCAGAAACCTTGGGCATGAGATGGTCTCACACAATGATGGATCAGAGGATTTTGCCCTGAACCACTGAGACTAATGAACTGAAATAGAAGAGCTTTAAAGTAGGAGCTACCTCTTCCAGAGGGGAAAAAAACCAGCTAGAAACTAGCAGCAGCTTGGCATGTTCCCTTTAGTTCATTCATGAGGAGAACATACTGGTCCAGAGGAAGAGCCATAAGCATTTTAATGGGATATTAACCCACAGGAGGAAACAAGGACTCAGCTTGTGTCATTTTCCTGGTTTCATTTCTGAGACACCCAAAGGAAGGGGCAAACTCACCATGTAGCACAGGTCCTGTCCCTCAAAGGAGGGTGAAAACCCATATCCCTCTACTTCAGCAATATGCAGTACAGCAGTAATTCTGCAAGCTGCTGACACGTTATTAACAGCTACAGAAGAGAAACTGGTTGTGTGGGACCATGGGAGAAACAGCCATTTCTCATGGAACACTGCATTTTCTTCCATTGGCACAACACGAATGGCAGGAGAAGTGCCTTCAGGAACCTTGATGTGACATCCCTCACGGAGAGGGCTTGGACCCCAGTGTGTCAGACCCCTCTCACGACAACGACAGCACCGCAAGGAGTAGAAATCAACTTCTGCATGTTAAAAACTGAGTGTTCCAAGAGGGAACAAAGGCTGGGAGAGAAGGACACACAATTTTTGTACCTACCTAGCAACCGGAGCAGCAGGAAAAGCACCCCCAGAGCGTAAGACTTGAGTTCAGGGCTCACGGTTCTACAGGGAGGAGGGAGAGAGAGAAATCAATTCCTGTTGTTCTGCTTTGATTAACACACCCTGTGGCCAGTCTGTGCTGTCAGCCAGGATGCCACCAGCACCTCTTCAAAAAGTCATTAATGGGGCTTTTCTTCTGCCTTCTCCTGAACTGCCTATAGCCCCAAAAGTAATTGCATTGGCAACAGGGTCAGGAATTAGCCAAGTCATTAATAACAACAGCTAATGTTGACATCGGATGTTTATAAGCTCCCCATCAAGTTTTCAAGGCTCCAGATGTTGAGAACTGGAGGGAGAGAAAACTTTTGGTTCTGAAACTCCCCAGACTACTGGAAACAAGAGAGGGAGGGAGAATGGTGGACCAAAGGTTCAGTCAGCCTGGTGATTCAGTGAGGAAGTGCTCAACACTAGTTTTCATGCACATGACTTCAGCGTGCCACTTTTTTTATCTTGGGAGGACAGTGTTTGCTATGAACACAACCACTACTGCATTAAGAGTTATCCTTCAAAGGTGCTTTAAAAAAACACTCATGGCAGGGGTGGTTCTCTGTATAAATACACTGGAGGGGCATCACTTGAAACTGATAAAACAGAACCAGTTTTTAAGATAGCTTTTAAGTTAGGAGAAGACCCTTCTGATCACCTGCCCTCATCTCACACATTCATGGGCCATGTAATACTACACCATGACTTCTGTATAAAGCCTGTGACCTCGGGATGAATTTCAGCAGTTTCCAGGCAGACCCCCACACTTTATGTATAAAGCCGTCATGCCAGGAATTATATGACCTTGGAAAGATGTTCCAATGGTTAATGGGTTGTCTCAAATAGGATTCTACAGCTGGGTGAGAAATGAAGGAAACAGAGCATTAGAAGTTTTTTAATGAAAAAATAGATTATCACATGGAATATTCACAGTGGGCTTTTAACTGGTGGTGGTGTCCTTCCATCCACTTTTCCATATTTAAGACCAAATACAGAATCAATCCCCAATACCTTAGGCTGGAGTAAAAATTGCCACTTGGAGACATCTTTTCTCACTGACTACAGCAGTGACCAAATGACTTGCTAAGACAGGACATTTAATTTGTAGAAACTGAGTCAATTTTTAAATAACCATGGGAGCTGCCAGTGTCACCTGCCACTGCTCTGGACACCAAGGACACATTCATATGCCACAACTTTCTTTAAGCAATGGAAGATGGCAGATGCAAGAGAGCACGAGCAGTATCCGGCTCAGAGCTCTCCACTGTACATTTGGTATCAGTGATTCTGAGTGAAGTTACAAATCTGGATGTGTGAATTGTTTATTTCTTACAGCTCTGAACTGAGTATGTTTCATCTTCCCTTTGCTTTTCTTATTCCCTGGTATTCTTCTTCCTGGCTTATCTCATTTGAAGGCAACACTAAGATGTCTCCATGCCGTATCCTAAAGGTGCTGGCAGCTTCCTTGAACAAAGAACTCTTCAAACTTCAAATTGCTTTTGTCACAATATTTATCATGAGGAAATTTGATTTCCCTTTAGCTACCAGAGATGCAAAGAGAGAAATGAACCAGTAGGTGGAATATCTCATTTTGTATCCTGCAGGGAGACATGCCCTCACAGAGCTGTTCTGTCCAAAATCCACTCAAGAGTGTGTTTCTAATACAGACCTTATTGATTGAATTTTATTGGAATTTTCCAGGCAGCAGAATGGATCTGCTATTTATGCCTCTGGTTATTAGTCTCAGTAAGTGACAGCTTGGACAGCTAAGTAATTTTGGATAAATGTGGGCTTAGATATATATGTATATCATAAGGTGAAGTGTTCCGTATGTCTGGAAATAACACAAGGTCAGTTATTTGAATAAGCTACTTTTGCCCACCTATTCACATTGGTTTAACTCAGACATGTCCTTCAGACTTCCAAGTTCCTTATGTTCTTGGACTTGGTCCAGGGTGAGAGAAGTTAAACTCCAGTCAGGGAGGTATTCACCAAAGCTAGCTTTAAATTTTTCCATGGTTTCTGTGGTCTCCAGACTATCTCAAAAGGTGAGCCTAAGCCTCTCTCTAAGCCATTACATGCTGAGAACATGGGGTGGCAATTCTGCCCCTCTCCCAGTGCAGCTGTAACTTCCTTACTACCTGAATTGGAAACTGCACATCTGTATTTCCATGTCAATCCCAGAAGAACAACCCCTGCCACCATTCTGTGCAACATCCCTGCAGGAATCTTCTCTATTTGGGTGCCCAGTTCCACCTCACTGCCTCCACCAAAGGAGAGCTCGAGCAGCTCTTGTTTTCTCTCCAGCCGCTCCATACTGCATGCCCTGAACTGGGGCCATGCCTGGCTAATCCAGGCACTAACAAGTGAAAAAAAGTGGTTTAGAGAGAAAATGGCTTGAATGGAGGTTCAGTTCCAAGTCATGGGTCTGGGGACAATGAGTTCGGTGTAAAAGGCAGAGGCCAGGAGCTGTGTGGGACCCTCAGCTCCCCCCTGTGCCCTAGGGTCCCTCCAGCTCTGATCCCATGCCAAGAGCAGCCCCACCTGATGAGGATGGTGACTGGTGGTCCTACTTGGTGAGAATGATGACTGATGGCCCACCTAATGAGGGCAGTGACAGAAGCTCTACCTGCTGAGGACAGTGACCAAAGCCCCACCTGATGACAATAGTGACCAAAGCCCCACCTGATGAGGACAGTGACCAAAGCCCCACCTGAGGAGGATGGTGACCAAAGCCCCACCTGAAGAGGACAGTGACCAAAGCCCCACCTGATGAGGATGATGACGGACGGTGTCTGCGCCATGGCCCCGATCATGCTGCAGACACACATCACACACAGGAATGTCAGGAAGGCCTCTTCGCACCCAGGGCTGGGGCATTTGCCAGGAACGACGGTGGCGTTTTCGGGAGGGACCGAGGTGAGGCACGAACAGCCACTGAGGTTCTGCAGAGGAGCACAAGGAGTCAGGAGAAGGGAGAGCTCCGATCCCCACCGCTGCCCTCTGCAACAGGGCTTGTCAGCAGCAATGCCTAATCCTCTAATGGTCAATTAAATAACTCCTAAGTGCTTGTTGGAGGGGGGTTTGGGAAGAATTTCAGGAGCGTCAGAGCTGACACATGCTGCCAGCAAGGGAAAGCTGTCCCTTGGCTTGTTTCTTTTCTTCTGCTCCTTTCAAGTCTCTCCCATAAATGTCACGGCGACAAAATTATTACTGAGTTCTACCTCTTTGGAGGAGAATAAAGAAACAATCTGTGTCTCTGTGACAAGGAAGATTCCCCCCATTATGGCTCTAATTACTTTCTTATTTACCTCCGTCCTCTCGGCTGTTGCAATTAAACTGAAGTACATTAAATGCAGGTAAATGTGCAGCCCTGTTCTTGGCTGCAGGTTTGGTGCTTCCAGCACCTCAAACCCTGGGCAGGAGCCACCCACGATGGGTGCTGCAGCTCACCCAGAGCTGAACCACCACAGCCTGGCAGCACAGATGCTGCTGGACTTCAGTGCACTCCAGGGCTAATAAATTACATCTGGTTCAGAGGGATTTGTGTTGAGCTAAAAGCTCAAGTCAAGCAAGATAAACTTTATCAATATGTGATCAGAAGGAGGGTGGAATGACTGCATTTTGCTTTGATCTCTCCAGCAAGTGCAGGATGTGAAAAGAAGCTTTGTTTGCCAGTCACAGATTTAAGGATTTTTTTCCCCCTTATTTTCCAATTCGCCCTCCTGAATTTTTGAGTGGGGGATGTCAGTGCAATTAAGGCACACAATGCTACCAAGAAATCCCTTAACGAATACAGAAAGAAACAGCCATTAATGATTCATGGCTTGTCTTCACAAGCCCGCTGGGTTTGCAGGTCACATGTTTGTATGAGGAGTAACGTCATAAAATATAACATACTGAAAAGCAGCTCAATCTCCTCCCCTTCTCCTCTACCATGTGCAAGCAGAAATTCCTTTGCTTTTCTGCCTAAGGGGTCCCCTTAGGACCATACAAAAGCACACTTTCTGGTTCACTGCCTCCGAAGATAAGGATCAGCAGGGATACTACTCCAACCTTTCTGACACCAATCTCTTTCCTCTGCACAGGAGCCAAATCATTTTTTTCCAATTAAGTGCACAGAGGACAAGAGAGACTGTGGTGCAGAACTCTAGGAGAGCTGGAGCTGACATGCAGGTGCCTTTCTGCTGGCAAGCAGTAATTAAAATAACAAATTCCTGTGCTGTGAGTTAGAAGCTGACACCTGAGGCTCCAGAATGGTGACAATTAGCACTACTGAGGTGGTGTTTGCACAGACAACAGGAATTTGTAGCTCCTGGCTCTTAATGCAGTGCATTGCTCCCCAGCAGCGTAGACAAGGCCCTGTGGATCACAACCCATGTAAGTCTGGAAAAGTATATACCTGCACTGAATAACCCTTGGACAAAATTCCCATCACAGCAAACACACAAAATTGGGTGTTTATTTCCCATGGGCTCTCATCAAGGGACAGAGTACCTGTTTCAGACAGTGGTGGGGCAGACTGTCCTCCCACCGGTGGGATTTTTTTTGCAAAGCACAAGGCAGATCTTACCTTCACTGCCTGAAAATTTGTCCCTCAACCTGCTTTTCTGACCACTTTACTTCAAGGTGCTGGCCCGAAGCAGTGTGAGTGGTTTGTACCAACTACCTCAGCTTGCTTAGCACTGCACCTCATCCTTACCTGGGAGATCTTTGATCTTTTATTACTGACACAGTATGCAACTCACAGACATCAAACAAGGCAACATCAAAGATGGAGTTATAACTTTGTCCTGTGGAGAGGAAATTTTTTGCTACCTGTGCCAAACTTCTGTAGATCCCCTTGTCTGCAACCCCACTGCATTCAACCACTTTTTATCAGAACCTTCTGCTGCCCAGCAACCTGCACACCCAGATTTATGTGTGCCTCTGAGGCTACACAGAGTTTACACCTTTAACAGCATCCTGACTTTGGTGTGATTATCCATGCAAATTACCCATGTTTTTAATTACTCATTTTTTAAGCTCTGGCTCTGACAGGGAAGGGACAGGCTGGTATTTCAATGCAGAGCTGTGAGGTGCCAGCACAGTAACTCCAGGCTGGAATTCATGTGTCTCCAGCCAAAATGCTGGGAGTCAACGGCATCAAACAAACAAGATCCACAGTCCAACACGTGGTATGCAAGGGTCACTCCCAGGAATGGCTTGAAAGAAAAATTCTAGGGGGTGCCAGAGCTCTGCCTACCAGCACTGATATTCCTAGGGCTTTTTGGACAAGTGCACCTCTAGAATCAGCTCCGTAAGAGAGAAGGAATGAAAAAGAAAAAAATAACTGAGCTACACATTGCTTTTAGAAATTGTTCACAGAGGAAAAGTGAAGAGAAGCAGTCAGAAACGTAAAATGTAGTAAAGTTAAATAAAGCATTCAGAGAATTTTATGTCCCAGTAAAAAGCAACCCTTGCCTCATCACAAGCACATAACATTCACAAGACCCTCCAGACAGGTCATTACCTGGATTATGGGTTTAAAACTTGGTTTGGCAATTTGGCTTTGCCTCAAGGCCATTGCATGGCCAAACTGGTCCATAATTCTTGATAATGCCCTTCCCAGCAGATGCTATTGCTTCACCAATTTGTGTTCAAAATGTTACTGCAAAAAACCCCCACAAAAACAAAGAGATGAGAAGAACCCCAAGGATGACAGCAAAAAGGCAAAATAAGAAGGAGTGAGTAAGAGAGAACATGAGGGAGAGTGAGATTTTTGCTGAGAGGTTTGCTCTTGCAGAGCACAAGGTCAGGCAGCTGCAGACTGAAGGGGCAGAGCTGAGTTTTCATTACCATGCTCCTTCCAGAGGAGTCAGAGCTTTGCACAGCGAGGAGATCTCTCCCACGCTCCAGCCACACACCACCACCAGCTGCACACCTGCTGAAGGCTTGGTGAACTGGTGAGACACAACTCTGTGTGCCTGAACAAGCTGGTTTCTTCTTAAAATCATCCTGCTGCCATCTCAGGTGTTGACTTATTGGGAGGAGGAGGAAGAAGAGGGCAGGGAGGTAACACCTTCACATGTCACACGTTGATGTAGATCCTTAGATCCTAGGGCTGCTGAAAGCTCAAACTGTGGTGTTTCAAAGGGATGCCTGCATCTCTGAGGCTGGAGAGGGAGTGGAGGAGACAAGATTTAAGCAGGACAAGCTCAGAGGTGATCTGGGTGGGGAGGCTGCACTGCCAGCTGCAAGTCTCTGCTCAGCAGCACTCACGTGTGCTTTGTCTCTGGGGCAGGAAGGGAGGTTTGGTATCTCCTCAAAGAGGAAGGATGAAGCCATGGAGGGATAATTGCATGTGGTGAGCACTGATGTGTAGGCACAAACAGTGCCTGTGACCAGGCTGACCTCCCACAGACTCCACTGGCACAGCCCCAGGCAGCGAGCAAGGATGCGGGAATCCCACCAGTCCCCACCCACAGGAGCAGCAAGCACTCATTTTTAGTATAACCCAGAAGACATTAACATTTCAGCAGCAAAAAATGAAAAAGTTGGCTTTTAAGATATTGTTAAAAATTCTCCACATATACTTTATATAGAGATAGTTTGGTCTTTATGAGTTTTCTAAGGGAAAAAATTCTTAGAACTGAAAAATGCAGAATGTCTTTGGATAGAAACTCTGCTCCCCTGACAACTGCTCTTGCTGCTGCCTCAGAGCAAAGCAAGGAAAGAGAAATAAGCAAGGGGAGTTAAAGGAAAGCTTAAACAAGGGTGAATAAAACCAGGAACTGCTAGCAACTGTCTAGGAACCAGATTCAGGGAAAGAGGAAGAAGAAAAAGACTAAAAGGGTTGGGCAGGGCAAACATGGGCAGGTGGAGAAGAGGGGAGATGAGGATGAAAGAGAAGCTGGTTCCTCAGCTCTCCCTTCTGGGCTAGGGATCTCTTGCAGAGGATGTGTTCTGCCACTGGAAACCTGTGATATCCCATCATGTTCCTTGCTTCTCTGCTGAGGAGGAAGACCAAGGCAGGAGGCTGTGAGATCCCTGCTCCGTGGGTGACCCTGGTGGTGGCTGCTGCTGAGAGTGGGCATTTATGGAACAGAGTGAAAAACAACAGGCGCTCAGGCCCACCAGAGCTGTGAGGTCAGCTTTTGGGGGTGCAGCCACTGGCTGTAGGTGAGCTACCCCACCAGACACGCAGGAACCTCACTCACTTGAGCTCCCAGAACCTTTCCTACAGGTGACAGGTCCCTAGGAAAGGCCACTCACCGTGCTGCTGCAGCCAGCAAAGCAGGCAGATAAGTATGTGACCCCGTCTGCCCCACACACTGGAGTGAAGGAATCAGTTTGGCATTCACAGTTGTTATTGCACGGGGAATATGGGTCCAGAGATGAGGTTGGAGTTGAGCTGTAAGACAAAGAGAGAAAGAAATTAATGGACAGTGTGGTATCAGCCAGCTTTCCCAGCTGTTGCCTCACAAAGATGCCTTTGAGGGGGATAGTTAAGGCAAACACATTAAAAAAAGCAGTGGGCAGGCAAGCTGGGTTCCAGCTCTAAGAAATCCAGGCTGCAGCCTCTCCTTGGAGACTGAAATGCCATGGCCACTATCTCCCTGCAAAAGAGAATCTAATGCAAGGCTTGGGCTGCCCTGTTACCTCAAGCCTCAAGGAAACAGAAAGAGATGCTGTGGAGATTGTTCTGTGTTTTTCTGCAATACTGTAAGGAGCTGACAGGCTGACGTTGTCATCTAAAGAGCTGCCACTGCATACTGGAGCACTCAGGAAGAAAATGCCAGATAACTCTCTCCAAGTCCTGCGAGTGCAGGACAAAACAGGGTTATGTGGGCCTCACTTCTCACATTGAAATGAGCCTGCTGCCAAAAACACTCTCTCTTCACCATATCTGTATTTCTAGGCATCTAAAACCTGGTTCTACAGATTCCCCTCAGGCACTTAAATCAATGTACAGAGCAGTGCATGTTCCTTACTGCCAGACCCAATGCTACAGAGGTGCCTGTGGGTACAGACTCAGGTCTGGCACCTTTTGATTCAGTTTGACTGAATTTCAGATTTTAGTGAAACTCTGTTATCGTCTGCAGGTACTCAGGTCTCTCAGTGGTGAGTGGCATGGAAACATGCCAGACTAAGAGCCCATAAAACACTGCCTTCTCTGTGCTTGTGCTATGGTTGTCTGAAGGCCAGCACTGCCTGTCGAGGACACTAACATGGATTTATGTTGGTAAAGCTCCCTGAAACTCTCTGTGGACTCACTTGTTTCCATAGGGAACAGTAACCCCTGCCACAGGTCCTGTGTCACAGCCCAGGAACAGGAAGGACACGTAGCAAGCTGTGGACACCAGGTTCACCAGCATGGCCATCCTGATGGCTCCCAGAGCAGACAGGCTCAGCTTCTTCACCAAGAGGCCCCCCAGGAATATGCCCAGACATGCACACGGGATTGCTGTCATCCCTGCAAGAGGAAAAAGCAGTTAGCAAGGGCCACTGAATGACACTGTGACAGGGCTGAACTCTCCAGCAGCCAGAGCTGTGCACTGGCATCAGGAAACCTTGCAATGCCCAACTGCTGGAGGAACACCAAGCTGGGGTTGCCCAAAAAAGGAACAGATGCAAACAGGCATGCTGCTTTGCATGGAGGAACCAGGATCTTCTGCCAGTTCTCATCCAGGCTGGAGGGAATGCCAGACTTGATCAGCTTGGCCCAGCCTGACCTAAGTAGCAGCAAATAAAGTCAAGAATTTTTCGAGGTGTCTGGAGGCTCTGGATGAGCGCTGCTGGTACGACTCACAGGAGTCTGATCTTCAGAGAGTAGGCAGGAGCAGCATTTGTAAATATGAAATCTCCCTAAAAGAATTTTCTTTAACTGTGAAATGCAAAAAATCACTGCCAGAAGTGACTCCCTTTCCAGCACAGACAGAAATTACCACACCATGCTTGTTTGGGATTGCTTTTATCCCTTTGCTGCCAGTTACACTCCAGATCTCACTGCCTGAACTGGGCTTAGGAGAGAATCCCAGTCCTGGCATTTCTAGACTCCCTTAAACGCCATGTGAGAAATCTGATTACAACTTTGTTTAAACAAGTTGCTGTGAGAAACACAGAGGTATCCAAGTCTCCTTTCCCACTGTCAGGCCAGAAGCAGGATGTGCTCTGGCTCATGGGTGATCCCCTCTTTGCTGGCCACCCAGCTGCACTCACATGCTGACTGCCCAGCCAGCTCCCACCAAACAGCTTTTTTCCTTCTCCCACTGGGTCAACAGTGAAGTTGCTTTCCTTTGCCAAGCCTTTAATTTTCAGGAAAGATGGAATTGCCTAACAACTTTGAGACCTCTGGCCTTCTGTCAAGCCGTATTAAAATTCACTAGCAAATTCCTGGGTTGCTGGGGGAGGCAAGGCTGACTGCAGGGGATTGTTTCTTTTGGAAAACCAGGCCAAAATCAGAAGATATCAATGAGTTTAATAGGGAAATAAACAACTGTCAGGAGAGCAGCTTGCAAATTCCTTGTTATGATATGAAGATCCACCCATTTCCTGATGTCCCAGTTTTTGACAGATCACTGCCAGCTGCCCATCTGGCAAGCTGTGGTTGCAGATCATCCAAGATCAACTTGCAGATATCTTAATTGGGTGCTGCTGAGAGAAAGACTGTCATAAACAAACGGCTGGGCCTGCCTGGGATGAGCAGGAGCAGAAAATAAATGAATATTCTGCCATCAGTGTCCTGACAGGGAACAAATGAACACTGAGAAATGTGGAACGTGAAATCACGGCGGCATGGAGTGGTCAGAGAGAAGGGACATTTGAAAGACGACCAAGCTGCACTAACTCAGGTACTTGAAGTGCCCATTGCAATCTTGTCATTTCCAGGCCAAGGGGAAAGCAGTGACTAACAGGAGACACTGGGCTTCCTAACCCAGAATGAGATGGACTGCAGGAGTGTGGGGAACCAGAACCATGAGACAAGCAGTTCAATGGGCCACACTATCACTTGGAGAGCAACTGCAGTCTTGGGCAACCAGACAGCTCATTTCTACTGCTTCCAAGGCTCTCCCTCCTATCCTGGCTGTCCCAACAGGCTGTGCCACAGGGGAAGTGATGGCAGCAGGATGCAGTGGAGAAAGGATGCTGGAGGTCTGCTCTGGGCCAGGCAGCCCTGGCACAGCTGAAGGCCAGCCCCCTCACTCACAGACACATTTCCACATCTCACACAAGTCACCTTTTGGGCAGCCTAACCAGCGTGGCTGACAGCAGTTACCAGCCATGCTGAAGACCTTTAAATCCCCTTGGAGGCCAGAGGTTTGGTGTCCCCTGGTTACTCACCCAGGAGCTGGTTGGCAGAGGAGGTGGTGAGGTTGAACTGCTGCTCCAGGTACTTGCCCAGGAAGGCGGCGAAGCCGGCCACCACCGCGATCTCCATGCAGGCTGCCAGGATGATGCAGGTGAACACGGGGTTGGAGAGCAGGTGCTTAGTCACTTTGGGGATCACTAGAAGAGAGGAAAAAGGGAGAGGTGTTTTTGTGTAGACTTTACTTGAGGTGCTGGAGGTGCTTTTCTCCTCTTCTGAAGGGTACGCTCACTTCACATCAGGAGTAATTTCCTGTTCTGCACAGACAAGCTGCTTGAAATGTGGGAACACCAGAACAAAGTGAAACACCCAAACAGTGCCACTTAAAGATTCAAGAACCAAGAGAGTGCAAAAAGAAATCATCTGTGATTATTTACTCTTACAGATGATTTTGAAAATTGGAAGAATGAGAAAAATTTCCAATATTGCTTTTTGTTTCCCTCATAGGGAAGTCAGTCAAAATGTGGTGTGCTCTTTCTTCCCCTTCTCCTTTCTGTACCTGCTCCCCATGAACAAAGCTGAGCCAGCTGACAGGTGCCATCAGTGCTGTATTCAGCATAAATCCTTGCAAGCTTTCAGACACAAAGCAACCCAGCTCACATCTGGCTTTTCCTTCTCCTGCCATCCAGATTTGACTCATTTTCCTATTCCAAACTGGCTCGCTCACTGATGGTCACCTTCTTGCAACTCTCAGGCTTAGCCTGGCCCATGGATACCCATGGCACAAGGGTCCCCTGCTCACTGATGGTCACCTTCTTGCAGCACGTGTGGGTGTTTTCAGCAAGCTGCAACTCTCAGGCTTAGCCTGGCCCATGGATACCCATGGCACAAGGGTCCCCCTGCCTGGGACAGGCTTGTCAGTCTGTGTGTTCCCACAGCCTAAAGCTTCTCCAGACAGCCAATGCATCCCATGTAGACCCTGCCATCCTTAAGAGGGTGGAAGAGGACGTGCTGAGCTGTTCACTGTGTAGGACACACTCATGTGGCTCTGGTTTCATGGTTCCTTGGCTCTCCCGTTCCAAATGATCAGTGTCTAGAGTCCTCTCTCCTCCAAGCCCATCTCAATTTCCCATAAGCAAACAAGAGTTACCGCCCTACAAAAGGAAATCTGTCTAATGAATCAGATTGCACGTTTTCTACTCCAGCAAGCATTTTAATTATTGTAGAGATAACACAGCTTGAAGAGGAGAGCATCCCAGTACAGAAGAGAGCCTTGCTTTGTCTCAATACCTGATGACTAATTTTTCCCTGAATTAAATGTGAAAATCATTAAGTTTGAAAATTACCTTGAAGCAGTGTAGTGAAGCCTCAATGGACCCCTATTTGCATTTTGAAAATCCATCCCCCAGATTCCCTGTGGTGTACCAGGGGCTGGCAGATGATGTTTCTCTGGTGCTGGCTTCTGTTTTCCCTCAGGGATTTTTCTGCACTGGCCTCAGCAGAGAATGCACAGCTCTTTGTCAAGACTCTGCTTGGGTGCCCTTGGCTCTTTCTTGGGGACAGTGGAAAAAAGGGTTATAATTAGGTTCGATCTAACCTTCTTGGAAGAGGTCACTTCACAGCTTCTGGTCTCTTTATATCAGAAACATTTTTCCAAGCTGTATAAAATTTCTGCTTCCTAAAGATTTACTGAACATAATTAAGGTGCAAGAGGCATAGCAATTTTTAGCAGAACGGGTGAAAAAAGAAAAGAAAAAAAGGGGAAAAAATACTGTGTGGGAGGAATGGGGATGGGGGAATTCAGACATGGATAAATTTCAGAAGCCACCTGCTGCTTCCTTCAGTTCTTTGGTGGCCACCTACAGAATTTCCCCCTCTTGCCAGGAAAAATATAGAAAATGAAAAGGTGGACTTGGCAGTACTGAGCTTGAAAAGCCATATTTAAGGTATTAATGACTGTTGTGCCTCGGGAGTTCAATTTGTTCAAGATTAATGGATTCCTTGAGATGTAGCTTTGTGCCAATTTAAATCCAAAGACACTAAGGTCTAGCTCTAACTTTATCCAACAAACAATAGTGATGACAGCCTGCCTTTTGCAGGAGGGAGCTAAAGATCGCGGACATTTATTTCTGAAGTTGGCACACAACCATCATGCGCTACCAAGGTCAAAATCCATCTTCTGTGCTTGGGGTGGACAACAACAAATTCACAGAGTTATTGCAGCATCTCACACTGCAGAGGAACCCCTCGTAAGTGCCTTGTCTGGCAGTGCAGGGCTCCAAGTCACAGCACTTCATCCCCTGAAGGGGCTACAGGAGAGCTGGAGAGGGACTTTTGACAAGGGTGTGTAGTGACAGGACAACAAAAAATGGTTTTAAATTGAAAGAGGGAGGGATTGCATTAGATATAAGGAAGAAATTCTTTACTGTGAGGGTGTGAGACACTGGAACAGGGTGCCCAGAGAAGCTGTGGATGCCACTGGAAATGTTCAAGGCCAGGCTGGATGGGCTTTCAGCAACCTGGTCTAGTGGAAGGTGTCCCTGTCCATGGTGAGGTGTCTGGAACAAGATGATCTTTAAAGTCCTTTCTGACCCCAATCCTTCTGTGATTCCTTGATTCCATGATCATTGCTTCTCATTCCTCTGAGTTTTCTGGGACAGATCCTATCCTCTGCTGAATGTCTGACCACTGTCTACTGCAACAGGACTCTGTACCAACAGGCATGTGGGACACAAGACCCAGTGCAAAGAGTGAACAGACAACTCAGGCAGAGTCTGGCAGCCTCCACCATCTCCTCAGCCAGGGTCAGCTCATTCTCCTTCATCTTCTAAGGGAAATAACACAGGTCTCCCTATAGAATTGAATATCCTTTCATCTTGCTACTGCCATTTGCTAAGATCAATCATTTGACACCGGCTGCTGCTTCATCTGTGTCAGTTCTTGGGGTGAAATACCTCTGGGAAAAAGGTAAAAAGTCAGCAGCAAAGTTTAAAAATCTCTCCATGGACTAGAGTGACATGCTTTCAGCTGCTTGGCATATGGTGCTGGGTATGGAGTAGGAATGGAAATGCCTGATGAAGGACAGTGAAGCCCTGGGGAACACAACAGCTACGGATGGTGTTTCTCCACTGGAGCCAACCCAGGAAGGTGTCATGGTAAATGTCACCCTGCACCTTTAGGGACCCAAAGGTTATCTGAACACTTTGGAGCAGCCCTTTGCTGCTACAAAGCTCAAAGGAAGTCCTTTTACAAAGCGGGAAAAGTCTTTCGGAGTCCAGAGAGTCTCAAAAATCTACTTGGAGAACCCACAAGCTGCAGCAGACACGGCACACAGGCAGACTCAGCCTCCCACTCCCAGCAGGACGAGCTCATTTGCCATCCTCATCCTGACGCACCCGATACGCTCCAGAAACGGCGGCAGGAAAGCGATTCCCACTGCCCTGGCAAGATGCACTGAGGAGAGCACAACGCCTCTTTTCACTGCTGAAAAGTAGTGAAAAGTACTTTAATCCCAACTCTTCAGACCATCCATGTGCAGTGCTGGTCACAGGCTCATCCACAGGCTGGGAGGGATAGAGTGGATGTCCCCAAGCTCTCCAATATCCCCCACCAACCCCTTGATTTCCCACCTTTTCACACTCAAACAACACCCATGCCAAGGCATCCAAACCCCCTCCCTGTCTTCCTCCATGGGGCCTCTGCGGATGACAGGCCAGGGGCTTGACAAATGCACACACTTATGTACACCAAGTAGCTTTGATTTGTCACTGCACATCGGGGAGTAGCGGGGATAATTGGCAACCTCATTACACGAGGTTTAACTACTCTCCAGAAACGACAAACTATAATCATCACGTTGGTGCTTGAAATGAATTGTTTGGAACATTACAATCACCAAGGCCCCTGTTTCTGGTTGGAGCACCCTACAGAGACATGTTTTCAATTTGCAGTAAAGATGAAGAACACAGAAAGCAAAGTAATAAATTAGAGGGAGGTTTACAGCCCAGTCCACCTAGGACAGAGTGGTAAGGGAAAGGCAAAATGTAGTATTGAGCCAAAATATGACTTTCTACTACCCATGTCAGCAGCAAGCCTCAGGTCTGAAGAGAAAACAAAAGGCAAAATCTCCACCTGGCTTGAGGAAAAAGGGATGAAGAAAACAGCACAGGCAGCAAGAATAGAACATATTCTGGAAAGAGGTAGCTCCTGTAAAAGAGAATATGGAGTAAGGCAAGAGGTGCTGAAGACAGGTGAGGTTCCATGTGGCCTTGGCAAAATTATCATAATGGATATGAGGGAAAAGCATGACACATAAATCAAAAAAGCCTTCCTGACAAGATGCAAGCTTGAAGCAGCAGTTACATACTCAAGCATGGAAAGCAGGTCCTCCTAGTCCATCATCTTCCCTGCAGGAACCACCTTTACTCAACTTGAGAGGGGGACACAAACCTCCCTCACCTGTGACACAGAAATCATGGAAAAGCATTTTTTGGAGACAGGCTCTGCCTGCCTTCAGCTGCTGCTCAGCTTTGGCCCTGAGGTGTGCAGGCTGAAGGCCTTTCTGAATTTTTTAATGGTGCTGACAACAAGACGCTGGCTTGGAAACAGCAAAGATAAACCTGACAATATCTGCACCCTCATGAAACACAAGCCAGAGAAAACTCAAAGACTGATGGAACCTGATGCCTTTTATGATCACCACCTTCTCACCTAAGACTTGGACTTCTCAGCAAGCCTTTAAGGTGTTTGCAGGGGAACAAGACTCAAATCCAAAAAGGCATTAAAGTCTAAACCTGGGCCAAAGCCTCACTGCTGTGGCTGTGAATGAAGCTATAGACAGAGCCCTCTCCGAAAGCTTGTCACAATCAGTCATGAGAACTCAGGAGTAAAAAACTATTCTTGTTAGCCTTTAATCCTGCCCAATCCTATGAACTCCCACTGAGGATTACAGGCTCCCCATGGTCCAGGTCCTCCCTGCACAGCTGGGAGCTTCTGGCCTAGCACTATGCTCCCAGTGAGCACTTTTTGGGAGAGAAATCCCAGATTCAGAGCAGCTCCCTCCCTAGGTACTCAGCAGATTGGTACATGGAGCAGGACAGAACTGAACAGAAGACAAGGCAGCTGTCAGCTGTACGTCCCAGCTCTCCTACACTCTTGAAAATGAAGCTGGAAAGAAACCAAAATGTTTCCAAATCTAGGGAATTTGCAGATCTGAAATTCATTTAATTCCACAGTGAGTTTTCTTTTAATTCCTTGTGAATGAGCTTCTCTTTCCAAACCTGGAGGATTCCATATCAATTTCAATCCTTTTAGGGTTTTAATCTCTCTTGCTAGACAGAGCGGCAGAACGTAACGAATTTTTGGTTTAAATCATTGCAAAACAGAATGCATTCAGGGCAGAATGTTTCAGAAGTGCTAAAGATCATGCGGAGGAAGCATTCTGAAATCAAATTTCATCAGAACTGGCCGCTCAATTCGATAGATGTGACGTTTCTGTGTGAAAAAAAGGAAGGGTTTTAGTGAACTGTTTCCAAGCACGTCCCAGAGCAGAGCAGGTGATGTGTCAGAGGCAGCGAGTGAGAGGGCAGATGTGGACAGACTCGAGCAGAGGACACAGGTGCCCTGACAGAGCCGAGCATCTTCTCTGGCCTGAGGAGCAGAGAGGTCCCCAAGGCAGAGCAGAGGTAGGAAAGCAAAGCTGTGCCCCCAGAAGAGCAGGGACTGCCCAGCCCATGCCTGAAGTGCTCTCACGGGCCACACGGAGAGCACAGGGCTGGAACAACCCTGCCAGGCGGGAGCAAAGAGCCATGGCAGCATTTATTCAGACTTCCACTGCTGTTAATCCTTCACTTCTCCGTGCTCCCAAATGGATTTGCTTTGCTGAAATGAAATACTAATCAGGCGAAGCGGTGCAGCATCCACGTGCCAGTTTAGCCATGGGAAGCAGCTCCCAGGACTGTCCCAAAGCTTTCCTGCCTGAGCTGCTGTGCTCCTGTGCTGAGTCCCCCGCTGCCTCCACTGCCTTTGATTGCCTCTTCACCTCGTGCTGTTCAAAGGCACCACTTTCATTTCAAGTACAGAGCTCCTCTTAAGACTGCTTCTTTCCTGGCATGAAAATACCCCACAGGAAGAGATGCCAGGGCTTCCCAAAAGCTGGGCCCTCCCTCCTGCTTAGACTTTGACAGAGATGTAAAAGATGGATACTTTGAGCATGTTCCTTTTATATTAGTCCTGGCTTTTTTTTGTGTGCTAAGGCTGGAGAAAGGCAAGGAATCTCAGCCAGCCCTCCATCTCACTGACTTTCAGCAGATCTTGTGGTGTCTGGAGCATCCTCCCACCCGCCAGCCGTGCCACGTCTCTAGCTGACAGCTATGACCCAGCTCAGAGCATGTCCCCAGCTGACACTGCCCTGCTCCCTCTCCTACCATGACCTTTCTCTTGTGGCAGTCATCATGTAAGGCTTGGAAAAAAATGTAAGAAAAAATAATAAAGCTCCTTCAGTAGCCAAAAAGGAGATGCAGTGCATCCTCTGAGGATGTGCTGTTGATGCAGAGGGTGTTTGCATTATCAATCCAGAGAAACAGTTCTTCCTCCCCACACTTGCACAAGAGATGGACAATCCACACCTCCATGCAGACACAGACTTACAGCAGGAACAGCTCTGTCCAGGACAAGCTACAGAGACAAGGCTTGCTAAAAATGAGTCAGATTCATGGCCACAAAAACCCCAAGAAGTATCTCCAGTCCCAACCCCCTGTACAGGCAAATCCTCTGCTGCTGCCCAGAGAAGCTGTGCTTGTCCCATCCCTGGAAGTGTTCAGGGCCAGAATGGATGGAGCTCTGAACAAGCTGGCCTAGTGAAAGGTGTCCCATGGCAGGGGGGTTGGAACTAGATGATCTTTAAGGTCCCTTCCAACTCATGCTGTTTTATAATTCCATGGATTCTGTTCAGCATCACAAATTCATGCAAAACCCAAGGACATATCAGGACAGAAGACATGACTATGCATGCACATACATATTTTTAACCTCTGTATATAATTAAGAGCCTTTTTTACCCTAGGAAAAAGCCTAAGTCTTAACTTTCTCCAAAGAAGAGTCAACAAATAGACTAGGGAGACTAAGATCTGCAACAAAAGAATGCCTGCAGATATTTCAGCTGCTACCAAAGTAATGTAGACACACAGAAAGATTAAACCATCACCTGAAACACTGCTCATCAGGAATGATGAGGTGCATTTGCCTCACTTCAGCAACACGACTCTTGACCACATTCTGACTATGACAACATGGCAAGGGATCTGAAAGGAGATGTCAGCTACCAACACCGTGTCATCTGTGACAGCCTCAAAGGAATAACTAAAAAGGTCATCCCTCATCTTATTTGATGTCATGTAAATTTTATTTCAAAGTCCATCTCCAAAGAGGCTCCTGGAATACTGACTGATCCGAAATGGGGTTACCTGCAGTGAGAGGACCAACGTGCAGGCCTGTGGTGCCTCCTGATGTAATCAATACTTGAAGCATATGGATGTGGCAGTTTAATTTCTCTACTTCAATGAGCAACAGATGCTCAGTGAACCCCCCACAGCCTCCCTGTGTGCAAGATGCTCAGCACCATCCTCAGGCTGAACTGCTGCCCCTCCATGCAGCAGGGATACGTCACATTCTTTCATTTTTCTATATGAAAACCTGCAAACATTTCCAGTGCCCACTCCAAAAGCTCAGTGGCCAGAAGCAGACACTCTGATGTGTACACAAAAAAAGCCACAGAACTATCCATACGGACATATAACAGGAAAAGCCCATGCAAGAGAAAATCCTTGCAACAAGGATGAAAGGATGAAGAAATGAATTTTACTGAGTTTCAACCAATTTATCCCTTTACCTTTCTTCTGAATTTCCTCATCAAGTCAAAATTTCACTTCTTTGACCTTCTCTTAATGAACAACCACATCTACTATTCAAGGCATTTTTATATATTTAGACAACACTTTTTTCCCCAAAGTCTCTTTTTCCTTCCCACCCGCACTTCATTCAACTCCCAATTAAGGTGACTGCACAGGGAGTAAGTGATTTTGTCCTCATTTATCTAAATGCATCAGGCAGTAATGAAACCTGCTCTGCCACGGCAACAGGGAGTGGGAAGCAGCCACCAGTGCTACAGAAACACCCTCTCAGATGAAGGATTTTCCAGTACAGCCTAGAGAAAGGATATCTGCCCACACTCTCCCACAAAATGCTGGATCCTCAGCTGACTTTAGAGTCACCTCCATTTCCATCACTGCAGGATATGATGTGAGGTTTTCTCTCTAATTTGCGACAAACCATGCTCTGCCCTGCCATTTTGCTGCTGCTCTGGGCTGGTATCTCCCTCTTTCCATTTCAGGTTAAGAGCTGTGGTGATGCCCAGCACTCATTGTTTTGTATCCGGAACTGCACTAATCTGAAGCTCAGGTGCTGGGAGCTCCCAATTTCTTTTAAGTGCCCTTGCTGGCTTGCTCTCCGTTTTGGGAGGCAGAGGGCAGCAGGACAGTACACTGGAGAGAAGTTCACAGATTGCTCTGGCAACTGTGCTCCCCTTAATTTTTTTTAGCAACTCCATAGGACCATCAGGCATTTCTCACAGAATTCACAGAATCACCAGGTTGGAAGAGACCTTCAAGATCACCGAGTCCAACCCATGCCCCAACACCTCAACTAACCATGGCACCCAGTGCCACATCCATTCTGGTTTTGAACACATCCAGGGATGGTGATTCCACCACCACCCCGGGCAGACCATTCCAGAAATTTATCACTCTTTCTGTAAAATACTTTTTCCTAATATCCAACCTGTACTTCCCTTGGTGCAACTTGAGCCTGTGTCGTCTGGTTCTCTCAGCTGCTGCCTGGAGAAAGAGACCAACTACAGAGAGACCTGACTACAACCAGCTTTCAGGGAGTTGTAGAGAGTGATAAGGTCACCCCTGAGTCTCCTTTTCTCCAGGCTAAACAACTCCCAGCTCTTTTTAAGCTTTGCAGCTTAAAAAAAACCCCCACCAACCCAAAGCTTTCAAGTGGAACAAAATCTCTCAGACGCGGGCAATGCCAGAGATAATTAAACAGAAGCTAAGGACTGCAACTCGAGGCTACTGATTTCTTGGGCGACTTTTGTCGGGACAGAGGAGCTGCTGCAGGGCACGCCTCACCTCGCAGCTGCTGGAAGCAGGTGGTGCTGCTGTCCCCATCCAGCGGGTGCCGCAGGACCCCGTTGCTGGGCTTGGGCCGCTCGTAGTCCCTGTCGGGGAGCATGGCCTGCTCGCTCTCCCCGGCGCGCTCCGGCCGCGGCGGCAGCGACTGCGGGAAGCCGAACATGGGCAGGGACGAGAAGAAGAGTAAGGCACCACAGAGCAGGAAGCCTCCCCACCACGCTCCGATCCACCGAGGGTCGTCCGGGGTTATGTCCAGCTTGCCTGTGGGGGGAGCAGACAGGAGTCACGGCTTGGCCATGGGGAGCTGTGGCAGCAGCCCTGGCTGGTCACAGAGGGCAACAGGAAACTCCCCCAGGCATGGCGCTGGGGAAGGCTGTGAGAAGATCAAGAGAAAAGAAACAATTCTTATCTTCACTTGCTACACCTGATATTGTGAACACGTGGAATGTGTTGTTATGGAGATTTGTTTACCAAAGGGTGGATTCCTATTTAGCCAATGGTGATGGTGTTTTAATTAAAAGACCGTCAATTGTCCAATTGCTTTAAAATCCATTTGGAGATTTTTAGCACCTTATGGTGAGGACTTCCACAGCTTCACCTACTGGGAGAGAAAATATTTTCTTTTGTAAATTCAAGTATGCCTATACAGTAACTATCTATAAAAGAGAAATGGGTTTCTTAATAAAGGTTATTATTGATCAACCTTCTGTAATACATGGCTATTTAGCCAATGGTGATGGTGTTTTAATTAAAAGACCGTCAATTGTCCAATTGCTTTAAAATCCATTTGGAGATTTTTAGCACCTTATGGTGAGGACTTCCACAGCTTCACCTACTGGGAGAGAAAATATTTTCTTTTGTAAATTCAAGTATGCCTATACAGTAACTATCTATAAAAGAGAAATGGGTTTCTTAATAAAGGTTATTATTGATCAACCTTCTGTAATACATGGAGTCTGTGCCAATTATTACCCAGCCGGGGACCCGACTGCTGTGATAGGGAGGGGAAGGCATGTGAAGGATCCCATGGGCTGCAGGGTGGCTGCAGGGGCCTTTGTTGGATGGTGAGGGTCACAAGGCCCAAGGTGGGAGCCCACAGGGCACCCCACAGCTGCACTGTGTGAGCCACCAGTGCACGGTGTCCTTCGTATCCAAGAGATCCTTAGGACCAGCTCCCGTCACCTCCTCTATCCAAATGGATAGAAGAACCCCAGCTTCTGCAACACCCTGTAATCACAGCTTCTCCCTGGTGTTTTTGGCTCTGCCAGCTCTAGGAAGCTGCTGTACATCAGTGTCCCCCGTGCTGGCACTGAGGTTTTGGGCATCCCTGTCCCAGTGTGTCACACTCACCTGGCACCTACTGGCACAGAGCTGCACAGAGAAGGACACTGCACCTCCAACCCTGCTTATCACCTTGTTTTTCCAGGAGCTCAATGGTCCCTCTGCTTTCAATTCTCTTTTCAGCAAAAGAGAGGTTGGCATTTGGGCCTTAAGGGCAACTATGACTGTGTGGAGGGTGAAACAGTCCCAAATATTGAAAAAGAAACCCACCCACAGCATCAAATGGACTCAGAAAAAAACAGAAATAATCAGAAAAGGATGAAAAGCAAAATAAAAGGCCAGAGTGTCCTGTATGCCATCACTCAGCAGAGGTAAGGCCCAAGAAGGGTCTGGAGTCAGTGTGAGGAAATACAAATAAACAGCAGGAGAGGAAAAACTGTTTTCCTAAGTGCCTTGCTGCCACAGCCACAAGGGTGCTCAGTGCTGGAGATGATTCTTGGAGGAGACCCAGGTCCACATGGCTGGAATAACAAGCTCCTCTGTTCATGGTGACTGTCTGGTTACTGCCACTCTGAAAAATCTGTCTCAAGTGAGGCAATCAAGCTGTCTCTCAAGCAGAGAAAGAAGGAAACTCTTTTCTCCTTAGGGAAAATAACACGTAGCTCTCAAATACAGATAAAGTTTGAAAAATAGTCTTGTGGAGGGACTGGATTCTTCTGCTGTTATTTCCTCCTGCCTGAAGTGCATTTTTTTCAGGTTCTTGGGAACACAACAGCATGAAGAGTCAGGCAAATCAGAATTTTCTTCATATTCCCTTCCTAAAATAGCTGCTGGGTGGTGGGCAGTGCAGCAGCATGCCCTGGCATCCCACACCTGCCCAAAACAGGGAGCAGGACAAGGCTCAGCTCCCTGGAGCTTGTTTTCCTTATGCCACCCCGAGCTCCAAGGCAGAGCCAGCTGCAAAGTGGAAATTCTTTCCCATACAAAAATAAACAGAGGCCATGTGTGCCTCAGCTTTTGCATGACAGTGACTGACCACGGCCAAAGCCAGCTGGACCTGGAGTTTGGAGCACTTCAGCCTCCCTGGAAAGTGGCTGAGCCACAGCCCTTCCAGGCTGCTCAGCAGTAATGTTCTGCAGTTCTTCTCTGTGGCTCAGTATTTGCCTGGGGCTTTTTGAGCTGCAAATACTGAGCACTGTCTTATGTTAAAAATGGCCAGAAGACATCAAATTGATTTTTTAGCTAGGTCAGCATCTTGCTTCTGATGGCAACCAACTGCAGCTGCCCAGAAAGCCTACAGGAATAAAGGCAGCATATATTATTCTTGTATCTTGAGGGCTTCCTAAGCTAGATTTGGTGTCATGTTCATTTTTTTTTTTTCATATATACACTTGTCCAATTGCTTTAAAATCCATTTGGAGATTTTTAGCACCTTATGGTGAGGAGTTCTACAGCTTCACCTACTGGGAGAGAAAATATTTTCTTCTGTACTTTCATGTTTTAGTATAAATTATACTAAATGGTAAAATATCTAACAGGTTTCAAACAGCTCCTCTGCCAAACAAGACTTTGGTAAAGCCAAGGAATGAAAAAGGGCCATGTGGTGTTTGACCAAACTGCAGCCAAATGCCTCAGCCATCCCAAAAGTTACTTCTTTCTCTTTTGATATTATTTACATTTCTTCAGCTGCCACGTGCATATGAGATCAAAAAAAGGCAGTAACATTTTTGCAGATTTGCACAATTCTGTTCTGAGCCCTGCAAGGTTCAGCTCCATCCAAATGAGGGCTGAAATACACCCTCCTCTAAGGGAAAAAAACCCTGCATAAGGGTCTGTGGGATCCGATGGAGCTGAGAACTGTGGAAAAAGCAGATGGAAATCGAAGAAAGGAATGAAGCCCCAGGTTTGCCGTGGGTAGCAGAGGACGGGGAGCAGCAGAGAACAGCCTGTTGCATGTTGCCCTCTCATGGCGAAGAACACACAGTGCAGGCACCAAAAAAAAGCAGAATTTGGTGTAAACGAACAAAAGGACAATATGCAAAAGGACAATTTGCAAACAATCTGCTTTAACCCGAGTGAAGTCAAGGTGAGCAATAATTATTTAATGCCTTGGAGAAAAGCAATAATGCTGTGGGACAAGCAATAATTATTTAATTATAATAATTATTTAATGCCTTGGAGAAAAGCAATAATGCTGTGGGACTGATGCTGCCCATTGTGGGACTGATTGCCCAAGAAGGCAATGGGCAGAAGGTGCTGAGCATGGATCTTCCTGGTGTGCCTCCATCAGAACCTGGCTGGTTCCCCCACACCCTGGGGTGGCAGCTCTACAGATTTCTGCTCTGGGGAGATCAGATTTTGTGGTCTGGGCACAGCTCCCCTGGCATGACAATGCCATAGTGCTATTTCAAGGTGTCCTTTAAGAGCTGGGATGAAACTCACCTCATAGTAGAAAACACAGAAGGGAACACATTTTAACCATTACAAATCTGTTACTTGTCAGAACAGAGCTGAAACCTTTTGAATCCCAGTCTTAAAACCCTACCAAAAGTGACATTCATACATTCAAGAGGCACTGAAGATGGAATGACAGTTTCCTGCTTATGAGCATCAACATTTTTGTCCTGATGATAAAAATTTAGCGTATCTGATTTGAAACCAAACCCAGATTCTCCTTACTTGTGTCAATGAAGACAGCATCCACGTAGATTTTGGTACAGAAGGAGCCCAAGATAAATCCACAGGCTGGCCCAAATACCAGCATCGTAAACAGGATCCCTACAAGGAGAGAGAAAAGAGAAGATTAGCACCAGGCTCTGGTTATTCACTGCAAGTTGTTCTGCTTGTCTGCTGTAAGATGGTATTACCTTAGTGATGCCAAATAGATAGGGACAGTCTCTGTGTTGAATGCTCCAAGCAAAAGAGCACCCTAAATGCATTTTGCTTTTCCATATCTCTTCAGGAAAATGAACAGATGGAGGTGTGATAATGCTGAAGGATTTCTATTGAGCTGAGAAGACAGTGTGGACATATGCTGTGTTTTGGTCGGCTGGCTGCTCTAAAAGATGTCTTACTCAACAGCACAAGGTAAAGCAGCCCTGCCTCCTCCTCATGGGCAACTCTGTCTTTGCCACCTCCAGCTAAAATCCTGGTAGACAGAATTTTCAGACATTAGGGACAGCAAATCTATGAAACGAGTGTTGTCACACACTGCTGGATAAAGTCCCTCTACAGAAGGAGGAGCACTTTTCCACATCTGTGAAGCCCTTCTCCCCATCAGACACACATCACAAATATTCACACTGTGTGGATCTTCCAGCATCTCACAACTGTTTGTTCCTTCTAAAAAACCTGCATGAAATTGCTAGTGTAATGCCAGGAGAAGAGCTATTATGAGTAAATTACTTATTTGTTTCAATACAGTATTTAGAAGCATTTATTTTCACTCCCATTTTGGCCCTGAAACAGGAATGCTACAGGCACAACGCCAACTTTCAATTATCCAGGGCAGAAAGGCAGGGGGACACAAGGATAATCCAGACAAAGAAGCAGCAAAGATAACACAAAACATTTGTAAATTAGACAATAAGAACATATTAGGTACTTTCACATTTGGGATAACAACAACATTTGGGAAAAACAACAAGTCCCCTAACCCTTGTAAATGGTTTTCTGAAGGGAGCAGGGACAGACTGAGCAGTGTGGAGCAGAGCTTGTTCCCTCTGGGGGAAGGCATTGGTGATGGACCCATGTGCCTGGTGAGGGGAGCACCTCAGCAGAGATGTGCCAGCACCAGTCTTGGTGTCACTGCACTTCAGAGATGGCCCACGAAGGAGTTTATTTGCATCTGGGTGCTTTGCTCACCCTCCTAATCTCTCTGGGGGTGTTGCCTGGCATCTCAGTGCATTCATAATGCACTTCATCACAGCTATCTCAGCCCTCAAGTTCCTTATCTGGAAACTTTTTAATTCTCAAGCTCCCTTCTCTGTGCATTTCTCAGGAGCTGGAGAAATTACGAGAGCTGCAAAAAAAATTCCCAGAGACCCCCATCCCCAGGCAAGGCAAACCACACCAGCCAACAACAGCTCAGCCAAGAGAATAAACTGGTATGGTCAGAAGCAACTTCACCTTCATTTTTAAAATGCAGGGTGCAAACTAATTCCTCCAGGCTGCTGGCACTGGGACCTGGCTGGATTAATAACCAAAGACAAAGCAGAGGTGCCCCCAGCCAGCTGCTCACACAGAAACCCAGCATGTTAAAGCCTTCAAGGCTGTCACCTAGAGCACACGAGGGACAAAGGAAGGTGGTGGGAGGAAGAGAAGTGCCAGGTTGCATGAGCTGCAGTGAGGGGTCACTGCTGTCAGGGCAGCAGCAGGAGCTGCCAGCCCCTGCCCAGCCTCTGCCAAGCTCAAAGCTGCAGCAATGCCCACTCAGTCCGTGCTGTCAGCTTAAATTAATCCCCAGGGTCTCTGCCCGTGCTGTCCCATGTCACAGGAGGACCAGCCATCTCCCCTCCTGCAGTCACCTTGTCCTGGGGTGCTGGGTTTGTGCTCCAAGATCCAGCAGTACACTGGGGAATTTGTGCTCCTCGAGCAGCAGAGCTGCTCAGCAAGTCTGTGCCTTGCTCCTACAAAGCCTCACAGGGGAGATCCCTGCTCACCTGCAGAAGCATCTCATGGGATGTGACATGAGGGAAGGGACAGGCTGGGAGAGCAGAAAAAAAGGTATTTCTTCCCCTAGCACACCTCAGCCCCATCTCCCCTCCCTGCCAGCCCCACTTGTGGCTTCCAACAGGATTTTATAAAATATCCATGCCACATTTTTTGTGGTCACTAGATGGCATCGGTGTTTGTCATTCAGCCCCCAAGCGCCGTCTGGGTGACCGTGCTGCTCATCCTTGTTCCCAAAACACGATGCTGGTCCCGGGGTCCTACAGCCCATGGAGGGTGGCACTGGCACAGGGCACTGCCAGCACCCACACATCTGCCATACACACACTCAGCCCCTTCCCTGGCTGTGTGACAGAAATCACAGGGTTTGGGACAAACTCTTCTGTAACTGTTAAGTTTTCAGGCACAGAGCTGAAGGAGACAGCATGCAGCAGAGATTGCCACGGCTGTGGTGAATGAGACAGCATTCAAACACCTCTGAAAACTGAACATTAATTTAATTTCTATGTAAATATGGCCAAGCACATAAGGACACACTGGGTTCCATATCAGCTGGAGCAATGACAAATGGAGCTACTCAGGCAGAAGGACAAGGGCCAGCCAGTTCTACCTTCTAGGCAACACCTTTGGATGCATCAGTGCTGGGTTGAGCAGGGATGGAGGTTTGTCCTGAGATGATCTCCAAACCACAGAGCTGTCTGACCATGCGTGTACAGGGAAAACCACAGAACTGGTGTTTGCTTCACGGAGCAAAGCGCAAGACAAAGAACATGGAAAAAGATCATTCATCAAAAGCAAACAGGAAATATATTCCTCTTTTCCAAAAGCAGGGACCTGTGGCTGGTGATTCAGCAGCAGCAGGGAGATGCTTGCAGAGAGAATTATCTCAGAAAAAGGCAAAAATTGAGAAAGCTGTAGCCAGTGCAGGCATAGGCACAGGTGACAGATGAACACTGCCCCTCCCCACACTATTGCATCTCAAAACCACTATGTCAGAAACCAGCCCTGTCCTCAGTTATTAAAATACCTCATTTCATATCCTGCCGGCTGCAGGAAGGCACGGTTTGCTCTGCCATGTCCTCACTAGAGGGCAATGTGGGATAGAGCATCCACTGAAACACCTATCTAACATCTCACAAAAGCTATTAAATTATTATTCACCTCTAGGCCAGCTTTAAAAAACCATGCTAATTGTGTTTTCTCTTTTTCTGTAGTTTGTTCTAAAATCAAGAAGAAAACAACTGGTTTACCCCATGCCCTTTTTTATCTTTTTTTGAGACTCCAACAAAACCCTGAGGTTCCAGTAATAGTATTTTACATTTTAATTCACAAATCAAGCAGATTGTGGAAAAATCCAAGGCATGGACTGTCACAGTGGATAGTCCAGGGTCTGCACAGAGCAGGACCACGCTCAAGGATCAATGAAGCATGCTGCTGGGCACAAAAACCAGGCTAATTAAGCAATTGGGATAGAGCCTGTAGGTTGAACATATATGCAGAATTGAGGACACAAGGGGAAATTAGGCAAGTTTGAATTAGCTTAAGACATCCTTCCTCTTTTGAGAAATCCTGCACAACTGCAACCCCCCCCGCTATTAGGGGAACACTTTCCACATCACCCACCTCACCAAAGCTGCTGCTTAGTAGAGAAGGAAGTCCTGCAAAAGCCCTTTTCCAGTGCTGGGGCTGCTGCTAAGAATTAAAATGTGCTACATTTAGCTTTAATACCACTTGCTTGGTCTTTTCCCATGTTTCCCTCTTAACTTTTAGAGCAGTTTGATTTGATGGAGCCAGAGGACACATACCAGGAGCAAACAGATCAAAGGTCCTATCCTGGCTCAACAGGCTAACAGGCTCTTGGGAAACTCCCACTGATGCCAATAAAACCAGTGATCAGTACAGGTACTGAAATTTGATGGTGTTTTTATTTTTAATCTCTGAGGTTTTTGTTTTTTTTTTTTTTTTTTAATTTATTATTCTTACTAAATTATGGCAGTTCTTAGAAATACTTCTAAGAAAAGAGAATTTAAAAAAAAGGCAACTCTGTCTTGGGACAATTCAAACAATTTGTTTGGTAATTCTCAAACACTTCCTTACAGTTTGTATTCTTACTAAATTATGGCAGTTTTTAGAAATACTTCTAAGATAAGATAATTTAAAAAAAAAAGGCAACTCTGTCTTGGGACAATTCAAACAATTTGTTTGGTAATTCTCAAACACTTCCTTACAGTTTGTGTCCTTTTAGAGCACAATTACATCTTAGCTTGAAAACAGCTAATAATTTTCTGTTTACCTGCTCTACTCCCTTCATCAGCCTTCCTGCCTCCCAAAAAGGCAGGAAAGCAAAAAGGCAGCAAAGTGGGCTGCACTGAGAAATCAGAAATGTTTTCCTCTTCATCTTTTCAAATGGAGCAATTTGCCAAATCCTACTTTGTCCTGTCAAATAACATCTTCCCAGAGCTGAGGAAAGGTTTGGGACACAGGCCAGTATTAGATCTGACATTTTGTGATGAGACTTTATCACTAGCAAGGCCCAAGACTGATAATGCAGTTTTCCATTAGAGCAAAGGGAAGGAGCAGCAGCAGGTCCCTCATCTGTGGAGGGACGGTGGCACAGAGATGCTCTGAGTCACACAAAGTGCACAGAAACCAAATTGCAAAGAGGGATAAAGGCTGTCAGTATTTCAGTAATAAAACTTGGTGTTTCAAGCTGCTTTCCAGTAGCAACAGGATCCTGAAACATGAGCAAACCTGTGCTGTTCACAGGGTCCAACAGGTGAAGCACGGACTCAATCCCTGTAATGAATTAACTGGGGTCAGTAACTCCCAGGAGAAGCCCTCCTGGCTGGAAATAAGGCATCGAGGGGACACTGCAAGGCTTGCCAGCCTCACCAAGCTGCGGCCAGAGGCACCTCAGGTACAGTTCAGCGAGGAGTAAGAGCAGGTTCAGCACAGCCACAGGCTGAGGAAACAGAACACGTGGGCAGCTAAAGAACACCCAAGTCATTTCACTTCAAAGCCTCATCCTCACCAGGGGCTGAAGACATGAGGAGATTTATTCTGGAGAGCTGACAACATACACCAGGCAAAGGTGAGCAGGGTAGGTA